ACTGGACGGCACATAACAACAACAACAACAACGTAGGAGCACTTCTTCCTCAGGCGGCTCCCTGGTCTAGATCTGACCTCCCTTTGTCCCCCTCTGGCTCTGCAGATGGAAGCGCGGTATTCCGAGGCTGCTTTCGTAGACCCGATAACCTCTCTCTGGCCTTGCCTGTGACCGCTGCCATGCTGAACATGTCCGTGGACAAGTGTGTGGACTTCTGTACTGGGAAGGTGAGCTTGGAGGTCCTGGGCACAGAGGCCTGGGAGAGGGGGAAACCTTACCTCAAAGGGATGAGTCATGCTAGAGGACCCAGGATTCTTGGCTGGAGACACAATGGGCAAGTCAGGATGAGGACGCAGCCTGCAGTCTGTGAAGAGGGAGAAGGCAACTGTTTGATGTGGGCCACAGAGGTTACATAGGGTGTGTTGTGATAATGAGAGATTGAGATGCTGTTTGAACTAGATCTAGAAGCAAGAGTAGAAGCACATTTGACGTAAGAGGCAGAAACATTTTCAATTTGAGATAGTTGCCCATCCCTGGAAGCATCCAAGTGCCGGCTAGACTGAAAAGACATCCCTGACTTGTCGGCTGGTCATTGGGTTATATGGGTTTCTTCTCAGCCTGAAAGCCTTGGTCACTGACTATGTTTATCCCACATCCCAGGCCACACTGTGAACCCCTCGAGGGAGGGCTTGTACCTTGGGCATTTTTAGGCCCCATTTCCTCTTACTCCTCAGGTATGCTGGGCACAGAGCTGGCACTCAGTGAAGTTCCACCCTTCAAGATTAGCTAATTGCAGGGCTGTCAAGAGTAGACCCACCTCCTCCTCCAGCACTAGAAGGTGGATGGACCTGTCGCTCCTTCAGCACATGTTTAGTGAGAGCCTATTGTGTGCCAGATCTGTGCTTCAGTCATTGTTATCAAGTCGGAACTGACTCAGAGTTGCTCTCCTATGGGTTCTGAGAGGCTGTAAATGGCATCTTTCTCCCAAGGGACAGTTGGTGAATTCTGTCTGCCGCCGAGGCATGGCCTTGCAGCGAGGAGTGTAGCTCTGTATAGACTGTGGTACCAGTGCTCCCGAGTGCTTCTTGGTGGGGACACAGAGTGCTTACTGGTGGGGACATGGTCTCTGTGCTCAGGGACATTGGCTGGGGGCTGCCTCGGCCCCTCCTGGGAGCTCGGAGCTCATCTGCACCTGGATGCTCCCTTCATGCTCCAGTCACATCTCCTGCTTGGTCATGTCTCTCAGGCTCCTACTCCACCAGGCACCTCTCAGGAAGATGCACGCGATCTTGGAGATTACTGCTTGCGTAGGATCCTGAGTCACACAGCAGGGTTTTCACAGGTCTTAGTGGTGAGGAATTACCCTACCAGTGCAAAGGTACATGGTTCAAATCCACCGGCTGCTCTGTGAAGGATGGGCAGCCTCCTCCTGTGTGATTTGCTGCCTCTGAAAACCCGCTGGAGGGTCAGCAATGGATCCCTTTCAGCTGTACATGACAATAGCGTGAGCTAGAACTTCCATACCATTTCACGACTGAGGAAGCCAAGACGCCGATAGGGGGCGCCACTTGCCCAGGCTCATAGCACAAGCACTCAGCTGAGCTGGCGTTGACACCTGGCCTGTTCCAAACTTAACTTCTCTTAACTTCTGAGCTCCCCGGAGACCCTACCAGAGGCCCTGGGTGATGCAGATACTTTATATACTCTGCTGCTAACCAAAAGGTGGGAGGTTCAAGACACCCCAGCAGAAAAGCACCAGGGGGAAAGGAGCCATTGAATGCCTTATGGGGCCCAGTTCTCTGACTCCGTGGGTCACCTGGAGTCAGAGTTGGCTCACTCGCAACTGTCCTGATGGTACGTGATCCAGGGCACAGGCTGCTTCAAGGCCCCAGGCATTTCTAGGATACATTCCGTACCCCTGAAGGATGTCCCAGAAGGTTGAGGGGCAGAGATCTCATGAGATTGAAATAGATGTTGCCATCATTTCGGGCCAGCATTCTTTGCTGGGCAGAGATTCCCCCCCACCGCCTCTTAGGGGAGAGTTCAGTCCTTCGGGGTCTTGGAGGGGTCTAGAAGTCAGGCAGGGTTCCTCCTTGGATGTGGGATCATGGGTGAACCAGCTTGGCAAAGGGTCACACTGTGCAGAGGTGTGTGGGTACCCTGGAAGGCCACACCCTGAAATGTTCCTCTTTCTGATTTCTCTGATACCTTTGGGGGCTGAAGGGGAGGGGAGAGAGAGGGGAAGAAGGAGAGGGAGAGATTGATTAGAGAGGATACACACCAGCTTTGTGGAGTTGGTTCAACTGGCAACTGGTTTCTAAAGTTGAAGGAAAATAGCAAATCCTACCCCACAGTGGGAGTCCTGGGTTGTCCAGGGAGTGAGTGACCTTCCTCTGTCCCCCTCCACACCCCCAGGAGTACCCGCTGGCGGCCCTGGCGGGCACTGCCTGCCACTGTGGCTTCCCCACCACGCGATTCCCCCTCCATGAGCGGGAGGATGAGCAGCTCTGTGCGCAGAAGTGCAGCGCCGAGGAGTTCGAGAGCTGCGGGACCCCCAGCTACTTCATCGTCTATCAGACGCAGGTGCAAGGTAAGCCCAGCTCCTCCTGGCAGATGCCTCCCTCAGCACCGGCTCTGCCAGGGTCCTCCCCTCCCCAGGCCCTGCTCTGCCAGTTTCTTCCATCAACAAGGAGACTGTCCAAGCCACAGGACAGGACTGGTGAGCTTGGTCAGGCTCTGAGACCCTGCCTGGGGAGAGTGGGAGAGGAAGAAGAGGGAGTTCTGGGTCTGAGGCCTCATCTGTGATCCTCATCACTGAACACCCACCTGGTCGCACTTTCTCTGTCACAGAGGCAGTGAGATGGAGTGGGAAGACGTCCCGCTGAGCGTAAGAGACCTGGATCTCTGGTTGGCACCAAAACAGACCCACAGTATGATCCTGGGCAAGTGACTTCGCATTCTCAGCCTCAGTTTGCCCATCTATAAAGTGGAACCTTGGGCTGTTAGTATCAACAACATGGGAGGGGGAGAAAGAGCTTCCAGATGTAAGGAATCCTAGAACTGGAGGGGACACCAACAGCCTCCTTTCGCTGTCAGAACACTTTCTCTTTATTGTCTTTTTTTTTACATTTTTTAATTTATG